TAATTCTTTCTTGAAGTTTCGGCCTGAATCATTTTTTAAATGATGTTTTGACATTCTGGCCTAGGTCATTTTTAATGGTGTTTTGACCATGCTGTCTTTATCTGCATTGAGTTTCCAAAGATATATTTTGGAAACACAATGAAGGAACATCTAGCACGAGTGTGAAGTTTCTGCTTCGCAAAAGCATAACATTCTGCTTAAAGCCAGTATCCAGTAATCCTTATTACTTGTTTCATTTCAGAGATTTTCCAGGGCTTTCCAGGCACAATTCTCTCAAATTCATGGATCGAAGATGCATAGTTTCAGACAAGGTTAATAATGAAAATGCTGTATTGCAAAAACAGCAACAGGAAACACGTTTAAAAATCTTGGAAAACTTAATGAAATGAATCTGAATCATGGTACTCTCAGGGTTGAAGTACCTGAGTAGAGCGGTGAGATGGAGTTGACTTGTGCCTGCAGAAGGTTAGCGTTGGCCGTCTTTAGCAGGCCAGAACACACCAGCTTGTTGCCTCCTTCCACCGCCCACAGGTTGTTCTGGGCACCAGCCAGAGACACAGCGCCTTTAACACACACACACATTACACACATGCTCACCCACTAACACAGACAATGCCAAGTGCTATAAACCAATTATCAGCTGCCCACACATTTTCCTGTTCTCTCGCTCCGCCAGGCCACCCTTTCCTCTCACCTTCCTTCTCTTTCTATTCTCAACTCCAATGTCTTTTCTTTTTGTCCTTTTCTCTCTTCTGACCTACATCAGTCCTAATTTCTGCAGCCTTCCGGCCCGTCCACACAGCAGCGTTAGAAGCTTCTTCCAACCCTTCTGCCCATTCACTTTGAATGGGGTGACGTCACTTTTCGCCGAACTGCATTGTGGGAAGCAGAGCGGAGCTTTCCTGGCGTTTCAGGCTGCAAAAGTTGAGCAATGTTCAACTTTTGAAGCTTCTGAAGCTTTCGGTGGAAGCGTCAGCCAATCAAATCATATGCCAGTACAAGCTCTAGCCAATCAAACCGCTGCTTGTGTGTCAGGGGCGGGAGATTCATGTGATTGGTTGTTGGTCGAGCTTCAGACACGCCCGCCGGCAAGCTTTTTCCAAAGCCGCTGTGTGGACGGGCCGTTCCTCTTCCCTGTCTCTCTCACCCTCCCTCCTCTTCCCCTGCTGCTCATTTCCTCACACTCATCTGACCTACAAAGGCGGGGATGCTGACGTTCTGTCCGTAGTTGACCCTCATGACGGGCTCGATGACCTCGTCGATGAAGCGCTGCGACACACCCAGCTCCAGCAGCGAATCAGAGAGCGGCCTTCGGGTCATGTTGATGAAGCCACTCCCCCCGAGAGAGTCCAGCAGTTCCTCCACAGAGCTGAAGGCGTAGCCGTGAGCCTGGTACTTGTAGATCCTGTAGGATCCACAACAAATGGTAAGTGATCAATAATAATAATAGACAACTGCTAAATCAGTAGACAGATGTCCTCATTCCTCTCTGTAGTTTTGGATTATCACACCCTTCAATGTGTGCGAAACAAAAAGGCTGAGACACGGACAGATGGAGGTGCAGTCTGGGTCACAGTTCTTCATGAAGAGAGAGATGCAGAGTGACAAAGTGAAGTAGAGATCATTGAAGTGTGATGTTGGAGAAATGAAATGCAAATCTGTTCCTAGTTTACCCAAAATGACAGCAAAAGATTTGATCATAACCATATTTCATATGTTGGGATGTTGTGCATTCAAGTTATTGTTATTTATCATTATCTGTTATATCTATTATTCTGTTAGTGTAAAGCAACAATTAGACGATTCATCAGTTACTGAATGTACAAAAAAAATTGTCGGCAACTGTTTTTTTATGATTAATTGATTGTCAAAGAAAAAAGTATTCATGCAAACATGTCAAAAAATGCTGTGTTAGCTTTCTCTATTCAAAAGCTTATTTAAAAATATATTTTTCAGGGGTTTGTGGAAAAAAAACAAGACATTTTAAGACATCACATTGGATTTTGATGATTTTTAAATGTAATTCTCACATTTCTTTGACAATGTAGACCAAATGATCAGTTCATCTAGAAAAGCTTATAATGGATCAATTAGAAAAACTAAT